GAGAATAATACTAATTGCATTCATAAGCATGGAACATCAAACAACAAGTATGGATTGTCCTTCCATCTAACAACTAAGGTAACTACACTACAACTAAGCTAAGTGCATGAAAATTAAACTAAAGAAACTAAGGAAGAGGCACAATCCATCAAGACATGAGTATGAACTATCAAATAAACCACAATAGTATTTTATTAAGCACTATCCCTTGACAATCTCTAAATCCATAGCATCAACACACATAGACATGCATCAATAACACAAAAATTAGAGATAAACGCATGAACATCTATTCTAGCATACATAGACATATGGATAGAATGAAATGACCAATTGGAAGTATTAAACCACACAAATCATTGAATAAACAAGATTCATATATAAAATAAGTGTCAAGACAAGGTTACAACACAAATCCTCTCAAAATACAAAGCATTAGAGTCTAGAAGGCATGCTCAGGGCTAACTTTAGCCCTAAAAAGATGTTTAGCCACTCATTGAAGTAGTCATCCAACCCTCAAGGGCTATCTCCATGGTAGGAATGACCTCCTTCTTGATGGAAACCCTAGAAGAATGGAAGAACTCCCAAGAATGTGTCTCTAGCTTTTCCTCCTCTCTTTTCTTCCTCTCCAAGAATGTTTCTAAGTCTATGAGATGATATATGAAATATCATGTAAAACAGGCTCAAAATCCTTATATAGGTAGGTTAAGTGTCACACCCAATGGTTTGGATTTGTGTACTAGGGTCCTTGTAATGATTGCACGATGAGTCAACTTTTAATGAGCTGGAACTTATTTTTTTCCGGACTTGAGGAGGTTCGATCGATCGAACTATTCTAAGATCGATCGAATTGTGTTGAGATCCATCGAATGCTGCAGAGATTGATCCATCCTTGGCAGCGCCTTTTTGAATAAAGACAAATCTCTGAGATATTTTGGGATATTTTGGGAAAGAGACAAAAGTGGTAGGTGGGGTGGTAGGTGTGGATAAGATCAAATATGTTCGATCGATCGAAAAATGGTTGGATCGATCGAACATTGTGGAATCTTTTGGATAAGGACAAGGGCTTGAATCCATCTTGAAGTGTCCAGATCAATGTTGCTTCGATCGATCGAAGTGATGTTGAGATCGATCGAACTTGCTAATTTCCACACTTTGCTTCATTCTGCTTCCACTTTGCTCATTTCTTCCATCCAGCTTGAGTTAGTTTTTTTAATGCTCTTACTTGGCTGAATTAACTTATTTTTGGGATAAGTGCTTGAAAAGAGCAATAACATGAAATTAGTCTAAAACGAGAAAGTAAGATAGATAAAGGTCCTACAATACCTTAGTTTAAGGGGTTTAATTGCGCATTTTTCAGCGCTTATTATAACACATCAGTTTTAATAACAAAATCAACAAAATAATAAAAAGTCAAATCAACCGGTTTTAATTGGGTAATTACCCTTTCTCTTTTCTCTCTCTTTCATCAATTCCCAAACCCACGCCCTCCTCTTGCACTGTTCTTCTTCTTCTTTTTCTTCACCCTTTCTCTTTTATTTGGGAATCGCTAATCCCTGTGACAAAACCCAAAGTCTCATAGCTGCAGTAAAAGTCGACGGCTATAGACTCGTTGACGGCTATAGACTCAGCTCATTCATGCGATCACAGCATTATAGGAAATGTATAAAGCTGCTGTATATATATGGTTTTGTATCTAAACTCTCTCATATATATATATATATACATCATACTTGCCAATACGTATATATTTATAGAAAGGGTGAAGAAGAAGAAGAAGAAGAACAGTGCAGAGAGGAGGGCGTGGGTTTGGGAATTGATGAAAGAGAGAGAAAAGGGAAAGGGTGATTACCCAATTAAAATAGGTCGATTTGACTTTTTATTATTTTGCTGATTTTGTTATTAAAATTGATGTGTTATTTTGTTATTGGAACACATAAGGATTGAGTAAGGTGAAACTACTCACCGGTGAGTAGTTAAGCATTGTCCTTTAAATATGAAAAATTCCATAAAAATAGAATTTTGTAGATCAAATGATAAAAGAATGGACAATGCTTAGCTACTCATCGATGACTAACTTCACCCTACTCACTCCTTAGGTGTTCCAATAATAAAATAACATATCAGTTTTAATAAAATAAAATAAAATAAAGAGGAAGAAAGTCAGATCAACTTGTTTTAATTGGACAATCACCCTTTCTCTTTTCTCTCTCCTCTTTCATTGAATCCCAACCCATGCCCTCCTCTCTCCACTGTTCTTCTTCTTTCACTCTTTCTCTTTTTATTTCTCTTTTTTTGTTCTCTTTTTCATCGCTTCACAAAATTAATTGACAAAAATTAAACCAAACCATTTTCAACTTTGCAACCAATTAAAGAATTGAGCCGGCTACATTTTATCATCTGACACTTTTCCCTCTCTTTCTTACTCCTCCTCTTTGCTTCTCTCCCCTCTCTCTCTTCATCACTGAACATAAAAAATTCATTCTTTCAGTGGAAGATTTTGCTAATTACATGTAACTCTTTTACAATTGAACACCCATTGCTCAATATTTCGGAGATGGGACAGAAGCTTGATTTTGGCAAGAAAGTTCACACGAAGGAAGTTTATTACATGGATCATTTTTCAATTTTTATCTGTCCTATTTCTGTTTAATTTGTTGTTCCAAGTGTATGCATCGAGAGAAAAGCTAAAGCCACTTATAAAAGTGTAGCCTGAATAAAACTAGGTCTGGTTTCTTTGTTATTAATGTGTTGACCTATGTCGATTTCTTGGTATATTTGTCTTTCTCTGTCAAATCAAGCATTGAATCTGTTCTAAAAGTTTAAGGCATTAGGAATTAGCCATGCATAAATTTAACCTAAGTATGATTAAAACTAAATATAGAAATTTAGTAAAACTGATAACATATATGGAGATTTAATAAAGATCGAAGGACAAGAAATACCAAAGGATTTTATATATTTTTTAACCTAGCTATAATTGGTTGCAAAGTTGAAGATGGTTTGGTTTAATTTTGTCAATTAATTTTGCGAAGCGATGAAAAAGAGAAATAAAAAGAGAAAGGGCGAAGAAGAAGAAGAACAGTGGAGAGAGCAGGAGGTGGGTTTGGGAATCGATGAAAAAAAGAGAAAAAAAAAAAAAGAAAAGAAAAAGAAAGAGTAATTATCCAATTAAAGAGAAATAAAAAGAGAAAGGGCGAAGAAGAAGAAGAACAGTGGAGAGAGCAGGACGTGGGTTTGGGAATCGATGAAAAAAAGAGAAAAAAAAGAAAAAGAGAAAAAAAAAAGAAAAAGAAAAAGAAAGAGTAATTATCCAATTAAAACGGGTCAATTCGACTTTCTTCTCCTTTTTTTTTTATTTATAATTTTGTTAATTTTTTTTTATTAAAATTGATATATTATTTTATTATTGGAACACCTAAGGAGTGAAGTTACTCACCGGTGAATAGCTAAGCATTGTCCAGCTACTCACCGATAAGTAACTAAGCATTGTCCCTATTTAAATAGTAATTATGGTGTGATGAAGTCTTTACCAAATAAAGAGTCAATCTCCTTATTCTAAGAGGTGCATAATTGTAATCATAACTCTTTCTATTGCTCTCCCTCCACAAATTATCAACCTAATGTTCAAGTTTTCATGGAAAAAAAAGTGTGTATTATGGATAATGTTATTTGTTTAATTATAATTTTAGTTTCTTTGGTTCTGGATTTGTGGATCTCTCTGTTTCTAGCTCGATGGGCTTATGCAGTAATAAGGTGTTTGACAGCGGGGATAAATCTAACTGATTTTGTGTGATCATGACTTTTGGAATATCAATGACTTGATGCGAAAGCTCATATAAATTAGTGCAATTGACCGGCGAACTCTAAAGCATTTTTCGTATTTTAATATCTAAAGCCAATCAAAACTTTCTATTTTAGTCTGTGGCTTGACTTTATACGCGATGTATTGGTAGATTTGTAACTTTTTTTTTTTAAATTTAATATAAGTCTATTATATAGTGATTAATATCGTAATTAATACTGTAATTATTCAAACCATATTACAACCAAGGAAATTGATCAGTGAGCATATCCTACTGTGCTATTTCATGGAAATAACCAAATTATCACATTTTCATCATTCTATTAAAAAAATAAAACATTGATATAGAAGTGGTGAAAATAAGAAATCGCCAGGGGAATCTAAAATACTCTCATGTCTCAAAATAAGTGTTATGTATTTTTTTGTCTTTCTTAAAATAAGTGTGTATTTTTTTTTATAAAAATCATATATTTCACATTTTTTCATATATGTTATTTGATTTTAAAATTTCAAATTTGAATATTCAAAACTTAAAATGACTATGTTAGTAATTTTTTAAACAGACAATACATGTCTCACATATTTCTTTAAAAATTACTACTTTCATAAACAGTACTTAAATTGAAACAAAAGGAGTATATAACAAAGAAATTTCCATGGAAATATAGCGGTCGGTCAATGGCCTAATCTGAAAATTTCCAGCCGAAAACAAGACGTCCCATGTGCAATGACTTTTGACAGTAATGCGAAATAGTACTCTTTTCCAAGCTGCTTCATTTTGGTGGAAAAATTTGCCAATGACTTGTGAAAGTCTTTTTGTAGTCTTCTGTTTTTTTGGCCGACGAACGACGCGGTCTTAACAACACACTCGTTGAGTCTCTCTCTCCCCCTTAGCCATGGGAACTACTGTCTCTTTGATTCTGCCTAGAGCACCAAACAACCATGTGCAATGAATTTTGACAGTAATGCAAAATAGTACTCTTTTCCAAGCTGCTTCATTTTGGTGGAAAAATTTGCCAATGACTTGTAAAAGTCGTTTTTTAGTCTTCTGTTATTTTGGCCCACCAACGACGCGGTCTTAACAACACACTCGTTGAGTCTCTCTCTCCCCCTTAGCCGTGGGAACTACTGTCTCTTTGATTCTGCCTAGGGCACCAAACAACCATGTACCTTTTTCATCTTAAAATCATCAGCACCTTCTATCTCGTCCACCATCTTGTATTTACGGCCGGCACAAGTGACTCGCCTGTCCAACATTACATGGTAGATGACGTCGCCGTTAACTGTGGCGGCTCTGGTAGGTCATCTGCTTTTGTATGGGTACAAAATTTACTTCACCTAAAGAAGCAAACGGAAAATCAACTTTCCACCAATCACCTTTTGCTGATCATGTTCCCTACATGACCGCTTGGATCTCTAATGCTCAATTCACCTATACATTTAAAATCAGGTCAGGCCAAAAAGTCATTCGCCTACACTTCTATCCAACTTCATACCCTGGTTTTGAAAGATCTAAGGCTCTTTTTACTGTTAAAGCTGGTCCTTACACTCTCCTTAGCAACTTCAACACTTCCCTTACTGCTGATGCTTTGGGTGTTGGTTATTTTGCAAAAGAATTCTGCGTGAGCATTGAAGAAAATCAAATAGTAAACATAACATTCTCTCCTTCAAAAAGTACTAGTTCTTCAAATGTTGATGATGATGATGTTTATGCTTTTATCAATCGAATTGAGATCATCTCCATGCCCACTGGTCTTTACTACACTCTCGATGGTGATTTGGGCACTCGTGTCGTTGGCAATAAGTTTTTTCGACACTATATTGATAACCGTACTGCACTAGAGATGGTTCACCGTTTAAATGTTGGAGGGAGATCCATTTCGGCGGTAGAAGATTGGGGCATGTTTCGCATGTGGTCTGAGGACAAGAATTACTTGCTACAGTCAACAAGCCTTTTACGAGATAGTAAAAACATTATGATCACATACACAAACATGGCCACATACCCTGCACCATCTGAAGTTTACAGAACTACTTGGTCAATGTGTTCAAAACAACATACAAACCAAGTGTACAACATTACATGGAAACTACCGATAGATTTGGGATTTAGATATCTGGTTAGGCTCCATTTTTGTGAGCTTGAACCCATGATTACTGAAAGTGGCCAAAAACAGTTTGATCTCCTGATAAATAATAAGATCGTCGAGACTAAAGCAAATATGATCAAATGGAGAGGTGGATATGGGGTTGCAGTGTACAAGGACTATGTGGTGATGATGGAAGGAGACGGGATGGAGGGCAGGTGTAATCTAACCATAGCTTTGCAGCTCATGTATGATTCAAGCACTAGAAAAATTGATGCAATCCTCAAAGGTATGGAGATATTTAAGTTGAGCAATCCCGACAACAATCTCGCTGGTGTGAATCCTGTTTTCACAGCAAATGCTCCGATATCAAGGACTCCAACACCCCGAAAATTAGTTTTATCTTTTGGAAGTGTAAATACGATTGCAACAGGTATAATTCTTGTACTAACTATATTGAACTTCATTCTGTATCATTTAAATCGTTTGGAATCAAACTCTGGCAAAATAAACATCTCATCATCATTGGTGGAGGAGGAGGTGCAACGGCGCTTCTCACTTGTTGAGATCCAGTTGGCCACCAACAACTTTGATGATGCACTAGTCATCGGTAAAGGTGGATTTGGTAATGTGTACAAAGGGATCATTGACAGGAGAAAGTGTGTTGCCATAAAGCGGTTGAATTCGGAATCCAAACAAGGGGCTCATGAGTTTTGGGCTGAGATCAACGCCCTTTCGAAGCTTCGCCACAATCATCTCGTCTCTTTGATTGGCTACTGTGACGACTGCCAGGAGATGATCCTGGTCTACGAGTACATGGCTCATGGTACCCTTGCTGACCATCTTCACAAAGCTAGTAGAAATGGTAGGGGTAGCTCACCTCTTTCCTGGGAACGACGACTCAACATCTGTATTGGTGCTGCAGGCGGGTTGGACTTCCTTCATACAAGTAGGGGTGCCCACCATGGAATCATACACCGTGATGTGAAGAGTTCAAACATTCTGTTGGATGAAAATTGGGTAGCTAAGATTTCTGATTTTGGGTTGTCAAAAATGGACATTGCAAACGTATCAGGCACTTACATTAGCACCAACGTTAAAGGCACATTCGGCTATCTGGATCCAGAGTATTTCATGACTCGAAGACTGACCAAGAGATCAGACGTATATGCATTCGGTGTGGTATTGTTCGAAGTGTTGTGTGGTAGGAGGGCTGTGGATATGACACTTGAGGAGGAGCAGCATAGTCTGGCCCTTTGGGCCCGAAAATGCATTCGAAAAGGAACACAAGATCATCTCGTGGATCCCAGTGTGAAGGAGCAAATCTCACCTCATTGTTTAAGAAGGTTTGTGGAAATTGCCAACAAATGCTTGAATGATCAGCCAAATGAACGGCCTACAATGGCTGAAATAGTGGCGAGACTCAATTTAATTACATTGGAGTTGCAGAGGAGGGCTGCTGACTCTGATAAAGAGCAAGAGGTTATCGATGTTGGCGGGACTTGCAAAGAGCATACTGATTGGAGTATTACGTCGGAGGATTCTCCATCAACATCCGGGCATTATAGTATACCTCCTATTGAGGTAATAAATGAAAGCAGGGTGGAGGAGAGTATTCCACTTTGGAAACAAAAGAAGGCTTACAATTCTAATCACGGATTGCCGTCAGGGTGGTGGCTGTGGAACTCATTGAGGAATAGAAAGAGACCTTCAATGACAAAAGCTTATCCACTGCCAAAAGTATATTCTCGTCAATTCTCACTGGCAGAGATTCAAAAGGCCACAAACAATTTCAATGATCACCTCCTAATAAACAATGGTTGTGATGGTAAGATTTACGAGGGTTATATCGAAGAAATAGGGAAAGTTGCTATCAAACGACACTTGACAAGTGATGATTTCTACAATAATTTTTGCACGAGGTTGAGGGTTCAGTCCCAACTTGAATGCATCAACATTGTGTCATTGGTTGGGTACTGTTATAATGGGCTTGAGATGATCCTGGTGTACGAATACATGGCCAAAGGGAGCCTATTTGATTGTTTACACAATACTACCAATAATAATCAACGTCTGTCATGGAAGCAGAGGCTCCAAATCTGCATCGGTGTGGCACAAGGACTGAACTACCTTCATAGAGGTGTGGAGCAGACAATTATCCATCTTGACATAAAGCCATCCAACATTCTCTTAGATCAAAACTGGGTTCCAAAGATTTCAGATTTCAAGTTTTGCTGTTTGGTTCCCAAGGACGGCTCATTAACCATCTCACCAAATTTGGGTACATATGGCTATATGGCTCCAGAGTATATGCGTGGTGGACGAGCCACGGAAAAATCTGATGTGTACTCATTTGGCATGTTGTTGTTTGATGTTTTGTTGGGAAGGCAAGCATTTTGTATCGAAGAGGAGTGCATAGAATTAGGGTCTGTTGAAGAGATCATTGATCCATATCTGATGGGGAGGATATCGCCTCTTTCTTTGAGCGTCTTTGTGGAAGTTGCTAGGAAATGCTTGCTTTTCCAAAGGACTGAACGCCCTTCAATGATTGCTGTTGTTCGCAAGCTCGAGCTTGCTCTAGATCTGCAGGAAACTACTGATGCTGTATTGGAGAATAAGGTAATTATCAACTACCCCTTTCTCTATATTTACAACCTAAACAACGTATGCATGTTTTGAATAGGCAAAACATAGGATGGACACAATGTCATTAGATTGTGAAACCAAAATGTATTGTATGCTTCGGAGGCATGTATGCATACACGTTGTGACTAGTCATTTTTCAAAGATTACCAAGTAGGTTGATATATACTAACATTGTCGCATGCAGGCAAGAATTGGGCACCATACTCGGATTATCCAACCTGATTCTCCATCACATTTGCAAGACATGGAACTCTCTGGCCCACGCTGAATAACTTATGTTCTTGTAGAACTTAATAGAGATTGGATTCCATCTTTAGATATATATATATATATATATATATATATATATATATGTACTAAATGTGGTCGTAATCGAAAATTTGTACCTGTTGTACACTATGTCAGAGCTCCGAAGAACTTTGATGTTAATTCCTTCAAGAGTAGCACGTGTCCTTGTTCTGGCTTTTTACCCAGGAAACGATTCTACTTTGGAATAGATGAATGTCATTTGCAGGCAACAACGTTGCTGATTTTAAAGCATCTGAAAATGTCTACACATTTTTGTCAGATGCGAAAATCAACAATGTAGGAAATGATGACTAGAAATAGCAAGACAAAGGTGAAAAATAAAACTGTCTTAGATTCTAAACAAATATCATGATTGAAACATTGTAATAATATTCTAGTTCTTTTCCCTTCCTTTAATATATTTTAGTGAAAATTTTATTTTATGGATCGAACATCAATAATATTTTATGAAGTACCACTGGAAGCAATTCTTCCCATGAAACTTAAGTTCTTAGTTCCTAAAAATGCTCTGTTCCGAAGGTGCAAACCTCTGGTTAATTTACATATCACCCAAGTCATGACTTTAAACGGTGAAGAAATCTTTTAAACTTTTTTTTCATTTTTGTTCTTGCTCTGTATTTTCAACCTAAATAATGTGAGATACTAAACACATACTCCTTTCGTCCCGTAAAAAGTGTTGATGAAGAAAAATAAAGAACTTGCGAGGGTAACTAGAAATTGACCGTTAAAACCTATTCCAACTTCTTGAATTGATACCCAACTGCAAATGTGATGGTGAAGAAATATTTTCGATTTCTGCTCGTCGAATGGCAATGTATGAGAATATATTTTTTACTCAATCAAAAAATTTAACATATTAAATCAGTTATGTCACTTGGTGAAGCAAAGTATGACTAAGTTTAAATCAGTTATGTCACTCGGTCCAGTTCTTGCTTCGTATTTTATAATTTCTCCACTAAATAAGCATTCAGTGAAGAAGTTGCTTCAAGGAATTGATCAACCACATGTGAAATTGGAAATTTCGAAGCTTTTTTGCAGACCTAAAAGTACTTAAGGGATTCTAGGCATTCCCAAGATTAAAGTTTTGAACAGAGTGGACATTGCTGAGACACATTTGGAACTTTTTTGCCAAGAATTTAACAAAGTCTATATAGGCAAAGTAGATTAGAGGGTATCTAGGGGTGGCAATTGGGTGGATTTGGGCGAATTTTGGATTGATGATGAATGGATGAGTCAATAATGGGTCAAATATTTTTAGATACAAACTGTCAAATTATTTTAATTGTTGAATACCAAAAAATAAATAAATAATGTTTTTATATTAAATTTATTAATTTTTTGGTATCAAGCGTTACAATTTTTTCTGTATCACGCGTTAAAAAAAAAAAAAAAAAAAAACGCTTATGCCTTTATATTAGGGGTGGCAAAAGTTGACACGACCCGCCAACACGACTTGAACACGACATGAGTTAAACGGATTTGGGTTGACCTTAAACGGGTTCGGGTCAATACGATTAACCCGTTTAATTAATCGTGTCGTTTTTTTTGTTAAGGAGTTCAACTCGTGTAACCCGTTTATACACGTTTAACTATATATGTCGTAAATAAATTTGTATTTAAGTTCTAAAATTACTATATAAACTCGTGTCTTATAATATAATCTTTTGATTAAAACTTATATTTTTTTTTAGTATTTATTATTTTATTGAGTAATATTAATAATTTAAATAATATTATTATTATTATTTTTTTTTGTAAATAGGTCATTAAACAGGTTACACGTGTAACCCGTTTGTCGTGTCAACTTAAGGGTATTATACTAAACAGCTCAATCCGAACACGAATTGACACCCCTACTTTATATCACCAAAAACCTAAGTCTCATCCATGGCTTACATCCATTCTTAAACACCATACATCCATAGAAACATTCATGGCATAAAAATAATCACACACATATTCTAGACATTATTTCTATGATTATAGATCCATGGATGATGATAATGCCTCTACAGAGAAACAAGACCCGATCTTATACCACTGTTGGGAAACCATATTTTAAAATTTTCTTTTCTCGGAAGCGTGAAATATCCAGAGACGCGTGTTTGTGTGTAGGGACTATATCCAATTTGTTTGAATGATACTTAATAAATTTGTAAGATTTCCAGAAACTCATACATCTGAGATTTAATAAAATCTCACTAAGGTCGTCAATAATAGAGACGTAGAGACTTGAACTCTAAGCCTTTGTTCTCCCACGTTGTTGATTTCCTCTATGCCCTTTCTTTGCCTTCTGGAATCAAAACCTATATCCCTCTTAGAAAACTGTTTTTGGCTTTGTTTGCGGGAACGATGAGATTTTAGCAGCCAGCGAATAGCTCAATAGATAGTGTGTGGGTTAACCACCATATTCGTCAATGTATATCATTATATGGAGTATTGTTTATTAGGTAGGCTCACCTATCCATCCTTCTGAATTTTAAAGATTCAGACAAAAAATAAAAGAATGGATAAAGAAAAGAGCGTGTCACGCATTTTGTAACCAAAACCTACTAATCCAATCTCCAGCCAAATAATCATGGCTAGGAATGAGGATCCATTGGGCCATTCCTTCATGGCTCCAATGGGCTAACAATTGACCCCCCATTAACTATTCTTAACTCCTCTAAATAAGAATAGTTGATCTCTAATTAAAAAATGATTAACTGAGCCAAGTCAATTTACGTAATGACACCTTTATGCTTAAGTAACTATCGGATAAATAAATGACATAAATCCAACTGCTTAATTAATTCATTTATTTTGACTCCTTGATTATTTTCCATTTGATTGCATGAATCAATTAATTTGATTAAATAATATACTCCATCTGTTCCAAAAAGAGTATATCTTTTGGGGAACCATGACTCTCACAAATTGAAGAGTCATGGTTGCCCAAAATAGACACTCTTTTTGGGATGGAGTATTTAATATATATATATATATATATATATATATATATATATATAAATTTATCAAAACCACACGGATGCCTCCGAATTTTCTTGTGTTAAATATATATAATAGCACGATGCAACTATTGATAATATATTACCATGTTATTAATTAATAATTACCTAAAATATCAGATATTAGACCCTAGGGCCCACCGAATAAATCAAAGCAATAATTAATTTATACAAAAGTTTATACCTTTCTCGTGGTAAGAGTTATTCATCATGACAATGATAAGGAGCAATTGTTACAACGGCTCTCACAATCTACTCGACTTATCATTGATCCGGTTCATTTCTTTATTAACAAAGAGTTCATCCTTCATCATAGATAATAATCCATTTACGATCGCACATTTGCACTAATTTATATATAACATTCATAGACCCATCCATGTAAATGCAAATTACATACGTTATCAAGTGAACAACCTCGATTCAAATCCCGAACCGACCAATACATATAATTCACCAATTATATATACACACGCACACACACGACACATTTAAATAAAACATGGATAATATAAAATACAACAAATGTTAATTACATTTCATAAATTTTGCTATGATAGGGCATACAAAACAATCAATTATCACACAAATATATACGGAGATAACAATTATATACATCCACACATAACATAATATTTTATATGGTTCTCCTAACTCTAGGGTTACGTCCATTGAGAGAGAGATTTCACTATTATAAATCAATGAAGAGAATATAGAACTATAGATGTCAAAACTTCACACACTCTTTCACTCTTCTCTTCTCTCACCCTTATGTTCTTTTCTGGGTTAAAAACACCAAAACCTTTTCTTCTTGGGCTACATCCATAGGAATTACATATACTCTCCCCTCTCCTCACAACACCCACCTTTCAGCTAGGGCTGTCTAAACCCAACCTCAACCCGAATCGGGTTGGGTTGGGCCAACCCGAATTGTACCCAACATGGATTATGGTCATAACCCAGCCCGAATATTTTCTGGTGGGCTGGGTTGGGTTGACAGGTTGACTTTTTTTTTTTGTGGAAATTTATATATATTATATATTTATATTATATATATTTGATTATATTATTATTAAAAAATAAAATATTTTTAGGGCAAATCATTTCAACCTCCCCAATCGCCTCTGGTCTCATTCTCAACTCTCTCTCTCTCTGCAACTGTAAACTACAAAATCTACAAGAATCAGAAGTTCAAAACCCATATATTTGAGTTTATCTATCTGTCTGCAAGAATCAAAAGTTCAAAACCATATCGGCATATCATTTTAGATTGTTCAAAAAAATCAAAACCCATATCTTTCAGTTTCCATCGCCCACTGTTCCAGTTCGCAAGTTTCAGCCACTGTCCCTCAACTCTCAAGCTTGCCCCCTATCTCATTGCAACTACTAACTTGTATGTATGGGTTTTCTTTTAATTTTTAGAAGTGACGGCGGTGATGGAGGCAACGGCAGAGGCGGAGGGATGGCGGTGGCGATGGATCAGCGGCTGAGGGCGAGGGACAGAGGCGGCGGCAGAGGGGACGGCGGCGACGGCAGCAGAGGGACGGCGGCGGTGATGGCGACGGCCACAGAGGGGACAGCAGCAGAGAAAGAAAAAGAAAGAAGAGAGAGGAGACAAAAAGAAGAAAAATAAAAAATAAAAAATAATTTTTATATTTATTTTGGGTTTTAGGTTGGGTTTGGGTTGAGCCCGAGCCCAACCCAAACATGTCTGGGTTTTGACAAAACCCAACCCGAACATGAACCGATTTGTGAATTTTAAGCCCAAATTTCAAAATTTCTGGGTTGGGGTTGGGTTGGGCTGGGTTAACCTGCCTAAGTTGCAGCCCTACTTTTAACCCCTTACATCATTCTTCTCTCTTCCTCTCTCTATCTCTCTACTAAAACACATTTCTATTTATAGAGTTTTCAAAATTTAATTCCTTATTCGATAAGAAATTCATAACTTTCCTACAAAGATTTACCATATCAGTCACAACTCTAAAGTAGAAGCATCCCCAAATGAAAAAAGAAACTAATTTTAGCACATAAATTTCGAACCACAAATCCAACATATTTTTCAAGTTCACTTTAGATTCTTAGATTATCGAACATGCTTATGAATAAGCTTGTTGAGGAGCGCTGAAAAGTGTATGTTTAAACCCCATAAGCTTAGGTATTGTAGGACCTTTATCTATTTTATTTTCCCGTTTTAGACTAATTTCGTGTTATTGCCCTTTTTAGGTACTTATTCCAAAAATAAGCTAATTCAGCCAAATAAAAGCATTAAAGAAGTTAACTCAAGCTAGATGGAAGAAAGGAGTAAAGTGAAAGCAAAATGAAGCAAAGTGTGGAAATCAGCAAGTTCGATCGATCTCAACATTCCCTTGAT